AAAATTGATTGACATATAGTTTTGAAAAATAATGAATATCATTATTTGTGAGTTGAGTAATATATATGCTATTGCATAATGTATGCTATAGATATCATGAATATGTAAAACAGACTTATTTGTCAATTAGTTCAATGATTATAATAATAAGAATGTTAAACTAAGAAAAACGAATTTAAAAAAATGAAAAATAATGAGCGAATAGCAACAATGCAAACAAAAACATAGGGCGCTCGTAGAGAAAAATGAAAAAATTGTGTTCACAATGGAGAAATTAGAGAAGTCATTATTCTAGACATCGATCACCCTGCAAGACAGCTATAGTTTACTTGAGATTTGTCACTTTACGTATTTTCTATTAGTTTAATGAGGCTAGAGTGTATATGTGAGTTGCACATTTCAGCCCCAAAGGAGCTGCGCTAACAAGCTTTTTTCTCTGGCTTCTACTACGCTGAAAGAATTTTTCGCTGATGAAGACTTTCGCCGATACCAATTTCTTTGAATGAATTCATAATCGAAAACTACTCGATCAAAGATAACTCATTCTATGTCAAATTTTATTATAAATTAATTAATGTATTACCAAAGCAATTAATTATCACGGAAGTCAGTAACTAAGTAGCTTGGTAACTAACTGAATCAGTGAACATGTAAGTTGGCGACTAACTCAGTTGTTAGCAAGGTCATAGGACAGTCAACTTAGATGGTTGCTAACAGAGATCACAAGGAGTGCAGGCGAGGATGTCAATCGAATGTAATTATGGATATGAATGGAAGTGAGATACGAGTTCATGTGAGCTCTGGACTTTCATTTTATTCGTACCTACACCCACACTCAGATAATCACAAAACTTAGACAGTGATTGACTCTTTCAGTAGTAGACTAATTAAATATCATTAAAATTTACACATAAAAAGGGTTTCATTTAGGAACGTACCAGTTCTAGTTAAAAACTGCAACTGGTGCATAACACCAGAAAGACAATAATGCGTAAAATTATGAGTGCTAAGCATGTGAACATGTGCCAGGCTGGAACTCGTAAGCGAAATAATGTTTTCAATAATTACCAGTTTTGTAATAGCAATGAGGTAATGTAATAAAGGCGATTCAGAAAAAAGTAAAATGCTGGTAAATTATCTATACTACAAAAGCATGTGAATGTGGGGGAGGGGGCAGGAGAGTGAATTTTAGTGGGTCTTAGTGTGCCTAAAGAACTGATCCACTCATACTCCTCTACCCACACCCGCAGTCTACCCACAAATCACCATACACCCACATTCGCCCACACCACATACTCACACCTCACATCTACTACCACACTACACCTCAGAGCTACAGCCAAATCCACCCCCACCACACACTGTAAAAAATGAGCGCAGAATAATAAACCCTCAAAAAGGATTTATGACCACGGCATAAACCATTTTTAGGTTTATGGACGTAATCTACCCTTTCATAAACTCTTTTTTTCAGGGGGCACCCCCCCCCCTCAGAATCGACTTGCCACTTTGGACCATAGTTTCGGGCTGAAACTTATAGCGATGGTTGGCCCTGATGAGAAACATGATAAAAATTTCAGCCTTGTATTCCTTACCAAACTAGAGTTACGATGTATTTTCTGGCCTCCACGCGAATCGAAATAACTCCATGACCCTATTAGATATCGAGATCGGGGTAGTTTTAAATTGAAGCTAGCCTCTATGCGCAACTTTTCATCGGACGGATTTTTGAAATTTCACTCTATTGATTTTTTATAAGCATTTTAATGTGCACGTCTAAAAAATGGCGCCAAAAAAGGCGATAAATTGAGCTTTTCTCAGCCTAAGAACTTTATATCAAAAATCCGTCCGATGAAAAATTAGTCCCGACTGAGACCTTTAAAACAAAAAAAAAATATCTGGGAATGCCTGAGCCGAGCCTAAGTTATTTCAATTTTACTGTCAAAAAACTATGTTTCGAGAAAAACACAAAATAAGTTTTAAATATCGATTTTTTCATGAAAGACTTGACAACTGATTTTAAAACGAAATATTTTCAACATGTTTCATTAGATCTTGTTACAATTGGTTACAAATGAAGCAAGGTAGCGTCATCTACCAGTAAAAACTAACATTACTATATTTTTGCACTGGCACTAATACATCACCCTAAGCGATGTGGAAAAAAAGATTTTCTCAAACAGCTGCGTTTCTGAACAAAATACGCTAAGTATATCTGTTATAGTGGTCGGAAATGTTTTAGAAAT